GTGGCGATACGCTTAGGGATAGCGGTCCTCTTGGCCGCTTGCCTGTCCCAAATCTTCGGCCGCCTTCAGTTTAAGGGACGCTCTAGTTGCCCCAAGGCACTTTTGCTTGGGTGGGGGCTCCCAAGGCAACTGGTCTGAGCAAGTTTGGCTAGTCACCTCCCCATAATCCACTATGTGCCCCAAAGTTGTCAAGTACGTGTCCGTAGCCTTTTTTCCCTTCACTGGGGAGTTGGAAGCTCATGGGACCTGTGACAGGACGGCCCGCTCTTGTCATCGGTGCTGCCACAGAAATGCCAGTGCTATGCACCTGCTTTGTCATCGGCACCCCAGGCTTTGAAAAACGTCTTGTACTTCTTCTTTGCTGCTTGGCAGACCTTTTGTAGTTAGTCAGGAGCTGTGGTTTTAGGTAGTGTTTCAGGACACGGAGCCATGCCTGCCCTTACTGGTGGGTGAACGTGTAGTTCAGCCACGAGGCAGAGGAAACGCTTCTTGTTGTAGGCTTAGTGTTGACCAACTGTGTTGTCTTGACAACAGTCAAAAGTGGAATGCTGAATGTACGCTACCATGGAAGATGGAAAGAAAAAAAGCGTATAGGTAGTGAATGCTTTGAGTTTCCTACTGAAGTTCACGCTGGACGTCCTGTATCTGGAGTTACCCAAGTGCTTTATCCTTCGCGCCTGTTACTGCTCCTTAATTCGGAGCAGTAATACAGCTATGTGTGGTGTGCTTGTATCAGTGCTCAAGCTGGCTGTAATACTTTTGGAAAGGAGGTTAAGAATTCTGCAGAAACTTCCAGCAAGCTTAATGTGAAAGGAGGTTTTTCTTGTGCGAAGCTTGGAATGAGGGAGACCATTTCACACAGAATCCTGCAAAGACAGTAGATGTGGGTGACTGTTGGACACTGTTGACCAGTGTCCACCATGTGGGTGGTTGGGGTCTAAATAGTGGGCACTCTAGTTTATGTCCAGTGTTCTGAGCTATGTAGCTGCTTAGGTGCTACAGTTTCAGGAGATCTTAATGTTGGGGTAACTTACTATCAGCCTAACAGGCTGAACATGAGCTCCCCATTACGATTTTTTGGCTAAGAAAAAGCTGTGAGGCAATGCTACCTCTTTATATGGCAGTAATGAACCATTACTGGACTACAGTGTCCAGTATCTGGTATCCTTGCATGAAAAGGGATGCTGAGGAATTGGAAAGGGTTCAGAAAAAACCCTGCAGAAGTATTTAGATATGTGGAAACTGGGTTGTATGGAATGAAGTAAACCAAATAGGTTGAGCTGCTTATCAGGAAGTGTCGAAGAGGTGCTCATATCAGATTATAGCTGTCCATGCAAGGAGAAGACAGCAGCTAATAAGCAGATGGGGATCAAGCAAGATTCAGTGACAGGAATGTGAAACTGGGTGTTCTCAGATTAGAAATAAGGCACATTATTTAGTGTACTAATGTAGCTGAAGAGTATGGGGTTGATTAAGTCTCTTCAAAACTTGTAGAAGTCCAAAAGCTGTAACTAAATATTAGCTAGGAAATAAAGGTTTCACATGGAAGGCCAGACCAGAGATTTTATTAATACACTTTGAAGCCGTGCCACATGTGAATGGCATCACTAAATCCTTATGCTTCCCCAGAAAAAAAAAGCTACTAAACTCAAGCTATGCTTGCAAAGTGTCTTTTATTCCCTCTACAAACCTGATTATATCCTGTGTGCTGTCTTGAAAGATACTTAAAAAGTAGGTTTTGGTATGATCAGATTAACCCCATTTACGTTATAGCCGATTTGAACGGCATCTAATTATTAACAAGTTTCCTGATATTCACTGTGCTGTTAGTAAGTAGGATTTGCATGATGTTGATTTTTTCTTGAGATGATACGCTACAACTCTTTAACCTTTACAAATAATACACTGGCTGCAGGAGCATTACCTGTCTGAATTAATGTTGTAAATAATGCCCAGAATTTTAGAAAGGCAAATTGATCTGGTGCACATGTAAGTGACTGTAAATCTGTTTTTAAACAGTCTTCCCTTCTTAGGTGTTCTGTTTCTCCATTGTCAGCCTCAGCAGAGTTTGCTCTATGCACAGGTGTGCTGCAAGTGCTTAAGAGGACTGATTAGTACCAGCTGACACAACACATGGTTTGGTATCCCTTGATACTAGACTGTTAGTTGACTGCATAGATCTTCCATTTAATCCTTGGCTGCAGCTAGAGCTGCTTTTTAGTATTACTGCAATAGTGTTTTAAATGCAAAAAAAAAATAAAAATCATAAAATGGTTTAGGTTGGAAGGGACCTTGAAGATCATCGAGTTCCAATCCCCCTGCAATAGGCAGGGACACCTCCCACTAGACCAGGTTGCCCAAGGCCACATCCAGCCTGGCCTTGAGCACCTCCAGGGATGGGGACTCAACAACCTCTCTGGGCAACCTCTTCCAGTGCCTTACCACCCTCAAAGTGAAAAACTTCTTCCTAATGTTTAATCTAAACCTGCCCTCTTACAGTTTAAAGCCATTCCCCCTCATCCTGTCACTACATGCCCTAGTAAAAAGTCCTTCCCCAGCTCTCCTGTAGGCCCCCTTTAGGGACTGGAAGGCCGCAATAAGATCGCCCTGGAGCCTTCTCTTCTCCAGGCTGAACA